TACTCCATTGCCACCTGCTGGCATGAGGAAGGGTAATTCTGTCTCGCCCTACCCAAGACATGAAGGTCTTCAAGGTGCCTGGTGCCAGCTAGGACTACTCCATTTTTGTGCAGGATCTATTTTTGATGGTATATTTTCTTATTACGCAATGTTTCAGAAGGTGCATAAGGAACGTTGATCACGGCCCAAGAGCCTTGCATTAGCAAGTTAGAGAAGTATGAGTAAAATAGAGATGAAAGAGCCGGGTACGTTCTCAAAGGTGCAAGATTTGGGACCGTGGGTTTTAAAGAGAATAAGGTATCCTTGCAGAGCAAAAGGCTATTCCAGGCACACGGGGAACAGAAACAAAGGCCCAGCAACAAAAGACAAAGGCAGTAGTTAAAACAAATCTTGCAAAGCTGCGTGTAGTCCAGCAAAGAGCTACACGGACAGATTCTGTGCAAGAGCAAGCAGGGGAGATGATATAACCTCTAGAGGAAGGATTAAGTGTCAGGATCTTCGTTCAGTGGCATTGTTCTTTATTTTCCTGTTGCTCTGGCCCTCATTAGCCTCCAAACCACCACTGCATGGGGGCTGCATACTAGTGTGTAACAAAGGAACGCACGGTCCCCCGTAGAGCTAGTCATCTAGCAGATGGCATATACTCCTTTCACAGTAACTTCAGAACTCCCACGGGGATATGCGTGTAAGTCTAAAAACTAAAAAAAGCACAATATGGAATATATTTCTGGGTAGTATAGAGCATGTCCCCTTCCAACCCGTTGCATCTACATCTAGCAGTGCTATTTGCTACATTTTTTAATGATTATTTCAATAGCAACAGTGAAAGTACTAAAGGTTAAAGCTTTCGGAGTGTGCCGTTCCCTGGGTCTCAGCCTTACGGTTGTCAGCAGTACTAACACCGCGACAACGGCTTTGCAAAAATTTTCGATGGTGCACAGATCGGTAAAAGCTCCATCAAGCATCAATACTCTTTAGCTGAGCGTTATTCCATTTTAAAGGGCTAGTGAAGTTTGGGAAAACAAAACATAAGATGAGAAAGGTTAAAAGTTTAGCAAAATTAATACTATGGATAAAACGGATTAGGTTATTGGGTATGTTCAGTTAGGGAGGAAAACGGCTACCGTGGGTTTTGTGTTATTTCATAGGAGCAGAGTTCTGCTTTCACTTTCATCTTCAATACTGCTCAATTTGGTAGAGAGCAGCACAGGGTTCATATGAGGCCAGAATTTGTCTTTCCAAGTTCAGATACAACTAAATTCTATTTGGCCCCTAATGAATAATGGTCATTATGAGAGTTTGGCTGATTAATTGTTGAAGGCTGCATCTTGTCTCCTGAACAGATCTCAAACAAATGGGTCTTGCACAAGATTGCTCCTTTTCAAGCTAAGTAACCCTGGTGCACTGGAAAAATTCAGCCAGGTGTTACGGACGTGGTCCCACATCAAAAGGAAAAAAAAAACAGCTTCAAAGAATACTGCATGACTGCTTTGTAGCTCAGCATCCTGCGCAGTTGTGTTGTCTGCAAGACTCTTCATGATTCCCTGTTAGGCTCCAGAGTTTGGCCCTAGCTGGAGAATACAATTTAAGGTGAAAAGCATGTCTTGATAATGCTCAAAATCTAACAAAGATGCAGACGTTTTTTTCCTTTGAATTACTCTTTTGCTTAAAAGGTTAAGTTCTCATTTTAAAATAAATCATTTTCCATGCAAATAAGTAAGAGCCATAAGGAGGGTAATTATGATGGTATTTTAAAAAATTCACTACCATTTCTTTGCCAAAAAAATCCCTGTGTTCTCCTGTTTTGTTTTTCCAGGCTCTAAAATTTGTCCTGCAATTTAGTAATGTTAAAAAGACAGAATAAGCTACTGACATATTTCCAGATCAAATGTTTCTGTTTTCTAGCAATAAATTTGGCTACCCTCCGATAGCAATGACTTGTTTGAAAACCTAAAAATCTTTAAATATTGTTAATTGCTCTGAAAATGTGAAACGAATCTTTTGAACAAGAACATTTGCAAATGGAAAACGTTTTACATTTAGAATTTGTAATGCTGGCTTTCAAAACATTCCTTTAATATTCAAAACAGTTTCATCAACTAAACAAAACCTAGAGGTAGATTTGAATTCCCTCTCACTTTTATTGCCGGCCCTATCACACAAATCAGAGAGGATGTATTTCCAATACAAGAATGTTCTGCAAACCAGTAAATCTGGGATTATCTCTTCGGACTGATTATGTCAAAGCTCTTTAGCCACAGCACTTTTGGAGAGCTAAAAATAAATAGCAGGGGGTTTATACATTTATTCTGTACCTAAATAATCTGTGCGTATTGTGTGTGTCTGTCAACAATGTGAGACATGGTATCTGGACTTAATGTTTATTTATAAGAGTTCTTTTCCTAGTAAGGATTTTGGCAAAGGGTTTAAACCAAACTGTCCTACTAGAAGCATTCATGGGACAAAGCCTAGTGCAAGTTCAAAAGAACTGAGTTCAAATCAGAAGCATTTACTGCAGATTGGTATTAGAGCAAACTTTGGCCCCATATGTTTTGAAAATGGATGAAAACTAGTTCTCTTCTATCTTACCAGTGATCAAACAATGTTATGTCATTGAATATAGAAAACTGTAATCCTGATTTCTATGCCACAATTCTGCACTATTAAAGAACTGGAGAATTTTTGCATTTAATCTGTATGAGAACAAAATCAAGTTCTTACAGCAGTTAGCAGAAAGTTAGGCGTGCTATTATTTGCCTCCTGGTCCTAAAGTATGCAAGAGGAAAATCTTCTGAACATGCTGGGACTTTAATTTAGAGGGATATCTTCAGTATTAAGCCATAACGACTCATTTTTTTTAGTTTTGAATTGAAAAAAAAAAAAAAATTCATGGCATTTCCTGACAGTGTAAAAGACATTGCAGAAAAATTCAGCAAAGACATTTTCCACAGTATATTTACAAATATAAATATATTCATAATATAAATACGAATACATCTATTTCCCTGTGTTGTGGAATAATGGGAACGATGTTCTTGATTAGACACATTTCCTCTTAAAATGGAATTTTATTCCCAACTCTCTCCTAAAACACGTAAGGAGTTTCTTCATATTCTTCATGTTGGCTATCGTCTGACTTTCTAAAGGTAAACATTGGAAACTTAGGGAAAGTTGCTCTTATTCCTAGTAAAAATGGTACATTCACTTTCCTAGAATGAAATGATTACTGTACTTGAGAATGGTCAGTATCTGCTGCGTTGTATTTTCTGTAGCTACGTGTTGTTCAGTTATACTTCTGTTTTAACTTCTGTGACATTGATCCTACAGCCCAGTAAGGCGATGCACATTTTTGTATTCTACTCGTGAAGGAATGGAGTCCATCCAGTGCTGCTCTGACCAAAAAAAACACTTACGCCTTGCTTTTACACGTAACTGGAGCTTTTGGGTTTGTTGTTTTTTTAAGGATAAGAACTGAAGATATGGCCTTTATCTTCCACATTTTCTTTTTCTTGCTTGGTCCTTACTCCTCAGGTGTTGTTTCAGTTGAAGTAGTGGCTAAATTCACAGAATACCAGTTCAGAGATAGGTTAATTTAGTTAATGCAGCTCAAGATGTGATTTACGTTAGCATTGTATTTACCTCTCGGTGAACAGTGTTGTCCTCATCATAGCCAACTTATTCTGAGCTCAGTCTGCCCAAAGGAAAGGTGCCAATGCAAGGTAAGATCATAGCACGATAGTGTTGACTGGAAAAGTGATCCCCGTACCCATAACTCAGTGGAGTGGAACATTGACCCCGTATTCCTGCTTTAACATATCGATTTCCATAATCGGATATTCAAGAGAGCATTCTTGAAGACAGAAAGACAAAATCTGTTTTCACTTGAAAAGGTGAATCCAGAGTAGTTCGTCATGGCACTTCATCTTTAATTAAACCAGTGCACCTGAAAGGTGAGCGTGGGCATGGGCTTTAGGTACACCCTATGTTAGAAGTTGGGAGAAGAGCTGTTTGTCTTTTCTGGTGTATATTATATGTACGGTATTTTTCAGCTAGGTCTTGTAATGAATTTACATTACAAAATTCATCTTTGCACTGGCTTGACTATAAAAACTGTGAATTTATTAGCAAGATTTTTTTAAGTGAAAAGAAGCTATTTCCTTTACCAAGAACACATTATTCCAGAAGGGAGAAGAGGCTGTGTCTTGCCCACACACAGTATGGCTAGCAGGCATACCACCAATCATAAGGTGTACAGCGTTCTCGCCCGCAAACAGTAAGCCTATTCCATTTATCTGTCCTTACCGAGCCTCGATCAGGTTCTTTCCATTGATACAGAATCTTACCAAAAACTATAAAGCAGCTTAGACTGCATGTCAAATGTAGGGTTTAAGCCTTAAAAAGTAGTACTGACTCCCTTTTATTACATGTGTAAAGGCTGTGGAAGCATGTCCAGAATTTGGTCTAGAGGACATGTAAAGAACATCCTTTTTTGCATTTATTCGTCAACCTTCTTCTGCAGGAAGAGGAATGGCTTAATGATGCTGGAATATTAGTTCATGTTCTAACAAACTAAGCGTATTTCTGTGATGTGGTTCCACATTTGGTCAGCTTCCTCTTGACCACTACGCCTCAGCCCTTAGCTGGTCTGATGGCAATGTTAATACCTGGCTAGCTTGTTGGAGTTTTGTAAGACTTTGCTAGTCTGGGCTGTACGCTGTTGCTGGGTTGTCTACAGCTCTATCAATTAACAGGAGACATCACCAGTCTGTATCAGGATTCTCTTACAAAAGCATTTTCTCTAATGTATTGGGAAATGAGACCTTCAGTCCAGGTTCTAGCACCCAGAAGACTCCACATTTTGTTTGTAAAATCTCATAGTTAGCGAGAAAAAGAGAATTCTGTATTTGAAAGTGCTGTAATGATCATTACAAGCCCAGATTCCATCTGGTATTTCTTGTTTTGAGATTGGTAAACCTCTTTTTTTTCTTGTTTCTTTTTAGCCATGTGACACAGACAACGTCATGGATCCATCCTGTAACAAGCGCACTAAGCTTGCTTTGCTCTGAGGACGATGACGATGGAACAAGAGAGCTCCTTGGGTCCAAGAGCTGAGGACGTCTGTTAACAGAAAGTAGTTTGTCTAGTTTCAGCACATTAGTGATGCACACTTTTTAATCTACGTGTTTTCTAGTCTAATGTAATAGTACCTGATGACGTTTCTCCCCTTCAAGTCAGAGGAAGTTCTGCCATTTTTTAGGTGGGTTTATTCATGGGTGCTACAAAAGATGCAGGGGCTGCAGAAGTCTCCCTTCAGTCCTTAATCTGTCCCAGTTCGGTGTGCAGGGATCAGTCTTGAGGCCTGATCCAGCCTTTTCACGACTTCTCTGTCAGCATAACTCTACCGACCTGAAGTGAAAGTGTCACAGCTTTGACCAGCATGAGGGTTAAGATTGGGACATTGGTTGTAATTTCACATGGTGAATTCCCGGTAATGGTTGACTGAAAGATGCAAGGTGAGCTTTTTTCCTTTTTTAAACCAATGCTAGTGAGTGCAATGTAGATGCCTTTTCTTCAACTACTGAAAATTTTGACTTTATGGAAGAAATTTGCAAATAAGTTTTGCTAATAGAAATTTAGCGATTTATTACAAGTATTGGAGCCCTGGTGACTTTTAAAACAAATACTTATTAAGATTGGTGGTTTGGGCTTTAGAAAAATGAGTCTTCGATAAGTTGTCAGGTAAAAAGGAACAGTTTTGGTAGAGGACACCATACTCTGTCAACAATATGAGGCAAGAATGAAAATTATTCTACTTTTGTACTCTGCTAAACCGATACATATATGCATCAAATACTTCAGTGGAAGCTGTGAAGTTTCAAGTACAATGAAACCTGTGAAACCACCTCCAGGATCAGCAGCAATCAGTCACCTCCTCAAAGTTGGTCTTTAAGTAGAACAAAATCATTTTGTACACATTGGTGATGATTTAGAGAGGATATAGAAAATGACAGGGGTGCTGGTGCAATCTAATGAACAGGTTTCACTGTACCTCTGTCGTGGTTTAACCCGGCAGGCAGCTAAACACCACACAGCCATTCGCTCACTCCCCTCCTCAGTGGGATGGGGAGAGAGTCGGAAAAAGGTAAAACTCATGGGTTGAGGTAAAGACAGTTTAACAGGTAAAGCAAAAGCCGTGCAGGCAAGCAAAGCAAAACCAGGAATTCATTCAGTGCTTCCCATGGGCAGGCAGGTGTTCAGCCATCTCCAGGACAGCAGGGCTCCATCACACGTAACGGTGACTTGGGAAGACAAACGCCATCACTCCGAATGTCCCCCCCTTCCTCCTTCTTCCCCCAGCTTTATATGCTGAGCACGACGCCATATGGTGTGGGATATCCCTGTGGTCAGTTGGGGTCAGCTGTCCCGGCTGTGCCCCCTCCCAACTTCTTGTGCCCCCCCAGCCTCCTCGCTGGTGGGGTGGGGTGAGAGGCAGAAAAGGCCTTGACTCTGTGTCAGCACTGCTCAGCAGTAACAAAAACATCCCTGTGTTATCAACACTGTTTCCAGCACAAATCCAAACCGTAGCTCCATAGTAGCTACTGTGAAGAAAATTAACTCTATCCCAGCCAAAACCAGCACATTCTCCCCCCCTTATTCCATGCCATTTACGTCATGCTCAGGTCCCCACTATCCAAGTGTTACAGTTCTCTATTTTTATTTGCGTGTCGTAGTTTAACCCCAGCCAGCAGCTAAGCACCTGTGAAATATCTGTAAAATGTCCACTGAGTTCATTTAGTCCGTGACTTTGGGGTTCTATCTGTTATGGTGGTCACTCAGGACAGGAGAGGTGGTGTGTTGCATGGAGTTACTGGGCACCAAAGCCAGCTCAGGTCGGGTCGCTGCTGCACTTGCACTGCTTCATGTAAGACTCATTCTCCATTGCTTCAGGTGGTTCCTGCTATAGTAATTCCCGTAACATGCAACTCAAATCATGGGTTACAACAATTTAAAGGTATTTCCATTCAAATCTCCACCCCTGGTCCCTTTGGACCAGGCCATAGGGTTTAACATAGAATATTTTAAATCTCATTATTCACAGCACAATGTACGATGCCAGCTTTGTCAAATATATGATTCTATCCTACATTTTTCTTGAGGCTCTTTATATGTGTGTGTGTGTGTGTGTGTGTGTGTATAATATATATGGCAGGTGTTGACTAATGAATGAAAGAAGGACCTGAAACTTTGCAGAAGCACCGAGGAATATGCCAAAGGAAAACCCTATCTCTGCCCTTTAGTCCAAGAAGGAGAACGGGATTGTAACACTGTGAGGAAGGCATAGGCTGCAATCTGCATTTTTCTGAGCGGCACCCTTAAGGACTTCCAAACATCCCTGGAAAGGTTCCGGCACACTCCTGCACTCCGGCTCACCTCTGCTGGCCGGTACAAAGGAATGAGGCTGTGCAATCACATTTTTTGGAGGTCTGTCTGCAGCGGGTGTGGCACTGGATTTAAAAATCCTTGCACTCTGAGGAATGGATGTAAAGACCAGACTTATTTGCAGCGTGCCTGTGTCACACTCTCTGTCCTTAGGATTATAGAGCTGTGCCAAGTCAGGCACACTGTTGATCCTTTTGCATCAAAAATAATACACTGTTTTTTAAAACCCAAGTCGAGTATCTTCTTTGAATAGCAGCGCAGCAATCGACTGCGTTTGGCCTGTGAGCTGTAGAGCACGTCACCAAATGTTCCTCCTGGAGGAACAAAGTGCAGCTCACAAAAGAGTTTGTGCAGGCTTTGCTGGAAGTGGATGTCAGGATATATTGAATAAGCAAAGAGGAAAATCTGTTTTGTACTTTTAACTTGGTCAGAACCAAATTATCCATGAATCTACCCGGGTGGCGTGGCTTAGGAAGAAGAGCTTGCTCAGCAGCCCCACAGTAACTTGTATTTCTAAGAAAACTTCCCATAGCAATAACACATAAACGCTTTAGCCATAGTTTGCTCCAGTGGCTCCTACGTGCTTCACAGCCTCCTCTGTGTTCCCGGAGAACACAATCTGAAGGGACAGAGCGTGTGCTTCTGTTTCAGGGTTGGACACTGTAGAAGCATTTTTATTTAAACCCCTTTCCTGAGAATGGCGCAGACTCACGACCCATAGAGGATATACAATGTTCTGAATTCCTCGTGATATTTGCTGTAGGCTTAGCAGTCATTGGGATGCTTTATGACAGGCGCTTTCAGTTCATGCTTCCCTGCTACCCAGATTGCATATAGATTCCAGTTTTCCAATTCTGTTCAAGAGAGGTTTGAATCTCCACTTGACCCTCGCAGTCTTGATTTATTCTGCTAGTGGCTTTGTGACAGCTAGCTGGGTGTTTCAGATAGGAGAAGCTATTTAGGGACAGAGACTGCGGATCAGGCAGGCTGCACGAGCAGAGACTTTACAGAAAGCAATTTCAAGCTGTCCTTCTGTTAGATCAGCCGGAGGAGGACAGCTGTGCACATCCTGCTCGCCCTTCCCGGGGAGCCGGTAGTGAGCTCCGGCGCCGAGCGTGCAGCGCCCAGCCTGCTGTGCACGAGGCGGGGAGAAATCCAGACAAAATGTTGGCCATCTGCCTGCTCTGCTTACTGTCTCCACCCACAGATGAGAACACTTCAGAAACTTGGAGACTGCTGCTGCCTCTCTCTTATAAATTTGCCTAGAAATTAAAGATGTTAGAAATAGATATCCGCATCTATCTAGCTTCTCCGGTAAGCGTTACCTCTTCAGATAATCCGCTAGTTCAAATTCTCCGTTATTGAGACTACATTTTCATACCTACAATCTCCAAATGTTCTAAGCTATTTTTGTATGCTGGCATACTTGTTTCCTAGGTTATTTCTCTCTCTCCCCCCCCTTGTCTCTTCTTTTCTGTGAAATAGTTTGTGAAATTATTTTGGTTAAGCTGAACTGTGTATATTGAGAAAATGGTTCTAGGATAACTTAAAAAGAATTTGTAAAGAGCAGGTATCAAAATATGCAACACTGTAAACAACAACTTTTCATTTTTATTCCAGAATAAAAAAATCTCAGTGGAAAAGAAATGCAAGTGGACGTTGTATCCTTTAAAATAATGAAACTACAGCTTTATAAGGGAATGGCCACGGGGCCATAATGATTCCTGTACCTCTATTTATTTTTCCATGTAAAGATGATGCTGTGAAAAATACTGTTCTGGTACCCGCTGGTGTTAATCTTCACCTGAATACTTGCACCACGCTGCCCTTCAAATACCGCAAACATTCCAGTAAATTTAAAACGGCCCTTTCTCCCATCAAAGCAAATAGCTTAACGCAAATACCTACGCAGGCATATTAGGTACTCAGCTTCACAGGTGCTAAGTAACTTCCTTGTAACACTACTCAGTGTCTCAATAAATTAGATGATCCTTTCATCAACCCCACCAGATAAATATAAGCACACATACATGTTTGAGCTGGCCATTCCATAAACATCACTTACATAGTCACAGTGGTCAGGCACATGTGCTGGCCGGTGCACGGCCACGCTGCCCTGTAACGCCTGCGCTGTAGTTTTCTACAGTAAAGGCTGTAGAGAAGATACAGTTATTACGTAGGTAAATACATAAAGCCTCTATAGATTTTTATCATCAATCAGGAGGAGAAAAACCAACGGTTGCTATTTGCACACAGACATTTAATGCAAAGCAAGGACCACCTTGGACACAACCTTACAGCACTAAATCTGTTCCGACACCGATTTTGTTTGGAGCCTTAAGGACTCACGTGGGTTTGCAGTGGCGCCAGGCTCCATACAGAGAATTTCACTGTAAATTCTCAAGCAGTGTTATTCTCAAAGGATGATCCTAGTTGGCCTTTGTCTAGAAGGCCCCCTGTTTAACACCATCCCCTTTAAAAGCATAACTGATGCAGACTACCGTTCCTCTTTGTACTCAAAAACATTTGTGGTGGTGGAAATCTCTTGTGTACCTCAGAGTACAGATTTCAGTGATAGAAAGTACTTACTTCGTGTGTAATTAAACAGCACAAACCACTTCTTCGTCTACTTGGGCTATGCATGTTACTGAATCAGCTCTTGCTTACTTTCTGGAGCTGTTGTAGGCACGTAATGGGGCAGAACCCCAACGGTCGGCCAAGGAGAGAGAGAGAGAACAAATCCCACTTTTCCTGCTCTAACATAAGTTTTTCAGAATTACCAAAATCCAACTTTTAAAGGAAGCTAAAAAGGCAAATCAGGCTTGCTACAATTCCTGTGCAGGTCTCTGTGGAGCCTCACATACTTTACTTACATTCCCCATGGAACAGAAGCTAATAGTATCCCATCTAGAAATCAGCTGGAGGCTTTAGCCTCTACTGTAAATTACAGAATAAGAACTTCATTACACTAAAATGAGAATTACAGTAAAATAGGGGTAATTCCTGTAACTTATCCTTTTAATTTGCTGGTTTACTTCAGACTATATTTGCTTCACAGACGCTGTCTGTTGGGTGGCCTCATCTTCTCCTCGGACCAAGTGGAGTTAGAGTTACCTCGAGCACCCGCTGCCAGAGAGAGCCGGGTTTCACCACCTGTGTTCTGCTGTGGAAGACAAACCTGACAAGCCGGAGCACTGGGAGACAAGTTCAGTCAAGCAAAGTGCTTAACGCGGGTTGATCTATCCCACGTAACGTTCACCATCTATTTAAACACTTCTCGTGACAGGCTGCTTTGTGAACCTGAAAGAAATGATTTGGTAGATTTCTTTAAGTCTGTTTCTGACAGACAGGAGGGTGTCTATCGGCATTAAGTTAAGGCAAGGAAAATCCTTCAAGAAAAATGTTTGTGGTTGTGGAACAGGCCGGGCTCTGCAGGCCTGACAAGTGGGAAAGGCTCTCCTGAAGCTCAGCAAATGCTGTGACGACTTGGCCTGTGAAATCTTGACTTCTCTGGGAACTCATGGGATTCTTAACACTCAGCTCAAGAAACTCACCAAGTCAGAAACCTTAACGCTTATTCCAAACCAAGCACCAAAATTCAGTGGCCTTTTTGCAAGTATTGCTCTGAGTGACTTCTGTACGGCTCTAGCTTAAGTCAGT